CTTTCAAAGCATACTTTAATCACAAACTTGCATTTGGTATTTTAAGTATAAAGTAAAATGATATACTGAGGGGTGGGGAGCTAAATTGACAAAGTTGATGTAATGTCATCTATTATAACTGAACTGTGATGCTACTTTATAAATTGTGATGCGACTTTATAAATTTTCGCAAGGAACCACATACAGAAGTATATAAATTCTCTACAAGACAACATGGCCCTCATTTTGCCTCTATTAGTCCAAAACCCAACTATCTTGTCAATTGTCCATCCAAGTTATTATGTGTTCCCCTCTTTGTTGTACTTTAATAAAAAAAATAACCTGTCTTTATGCCCGTTTAAAAAACCCGAAGGTCAATGCCACATGTGTAGGTAAAATTTCAAATAAAAATATGTATAGGGAATAGGGACTAAATTGCTTGCCACACTTCTCATCACCCACAAGTCCGCCTAAAAAAATAACCTTTTTATACGCCCGTTTAAAAAACCCCAAGGTCAATGCCACATGTATAGGTAAAATTTCAAATAAAAATATGTATAGGGATTAGGGACTAAATTGCTTGCCACACTTCTCATCACCCACAAGTCTGCCTAAAGTTTTTGTGATTGGCATTTTTTATGACAATGTCGTCCTTGTTAACAATGTTCTGACCATGCAAATAAAAAAAAAAGGTTAACAAAAACTGTTACTTTTCTTGTGTTTTAAGTATGCTTTGATATTGTGAATTTTTATGTAGCATTTCTATCAAAATTACAAGGTGATTTCACTTCACCCTTAACCTACAGTAATTCTTTAATGAACTTGTCCAGCTTTCATTCCTGGCACTGTCCATTATTAATTTTGGGGATATCAAGATAAATGGATGTTAGCCTGAGCCAAAGGGTAATCATGTCTCATTCAAGCTTGGGAAAAAAGGGTTCAAATTGAAAATTGTTTGGAAAGAGCTGTGGAAAAAGAAAGTATTCACTCCATTGTACAAGATATGTTGAAAAAGCAGAACTTTAGCAACTGGTGAAAAAGAAAACAAAACAAAAGGTGCCTTAAAAAGATAGTTTTTTTATTGGGATTATTTTAATTCTGAAAAGATTTCTAAGAATGGGAAACCATTGATGTTGCATGAATTGATGTTATTTTACGACTTACTTGTTTTTTACCATAACTTACTGTACATATCTGGGAAATATTTACACAATATACGAAAGATTATTTAATGTTAATTTTTTTTAATGGAAAGATTTTACAAATGGTCCTGAAATTTGCTGATTTTTCTCTTTTTGTCAAACTTTTATCACCGATTCTAGTTGGGTTTTTTTTTGGGGGGGGGGGGGGTCAAAACACTCATTCGAGTGCTAAAGTAGATATTTCCTGATATACAGTTTTTTATTATTTTTTTCGAGTGCATGGCTTACAGTGTACGTTTATTTTGCCACTTTGTTTCTCCTTGTCTGTAGGAATGAATGGCGCGATAACTCCGACACCGTATGTGCTAAGCCAGGACCCGTACACGGTCGGCATACAGCTAGCAGGTCAGGTGATTTCAATGTTGCCATAGAGAGCTTGTGCTCATTACTGTAGAAATATAAAAAAAAGATTTCAATAAACTTCAAAAGTGGTGAATAGATTATGTAAACATGTATTTAAATCTACCAACCAACCGCATAGCGCATATTTGGGAAGAATTTATCAGTGCTGTAACCAATTAGTTGGTGTCCTGGATAAAGCTTTACATTAATAACCCACTGCAAATTTGATTATATTATAGTGGAGACATTGACAGGTCTTTGGGTTAACTATTTCTAAAAAGTACAAACGAGGGTGGATAGTTTTTGTAAAACAGTGACCTTGAAAGGTCCGACTTCATCCATTCATTCAATAGCAAGCCTCAAAATAATAAAAATATAGGAAAGGTATTGTGTATCAGTTTGGTAATTAATGGGAGAGGAAAAAATGATCAGTAGTTTGTAATAAGTAAAACCTGGGAGCATTAATCTTTTCGATTTTAACTTATTTTATGAAAGAAAGATTAAAATTATTAGTAATACTGAATGAGAAATGGGACTTTAAGAATATATTGCCACATTTAGGTTATTGAAATCACACAGACAATAGTTTGCAATTCATGACTGTGCAGCTCAGTAGAATTTATAAACATTGATTGTACCATTATTATCAGACCTTGTAAGTGTCCAAAAGTTAGCCAATTTAAAATTCCAGACATTTTGCGTGTGGAAATATTAGCAAATCACGATCTTGCGGTAGAGTGAAAACTGATAATGGGTTGGATGATATTTACATTAGAGGAAATTTAAGAGGTTTTCATAATTTCGCGAAATTCCCCAATAATTCCTCGTTGCTAACAGTAACTGAACCACTTACACAGTATGTAGGGGGTATAGGGATCAGTTATAGGAAAAGTAAGGGCTAGGTGTGCAATGAAAAGCTGTGTTCAGTATCTTAATATTTCTATGTACCTGTTGGTATTGAGACTAAGTAATATTTGATAAATATGTAAATTAATATAATGAAAATAATAACTTATTATTAATATTCAAATTATAATTAATGTGAGTAAAGATTTAACATGAAAAAAAGATTCAAAACAATGTTGTGCATATACGCTTGTATTTATATTTGAGCTGTGCAGTCATATGAATTGTTCATATATATAAACGTATTAATAGTTATACACCTCTGTAACCAATTTTGTAGTGTTGTGCTTTGTAGAACTGTAGATATATGCTGTCCCTTGTAGTCAAAATGACACCATTACCTCTGTAATATTAAATATTTTAGGATATCTGTCTATCATTAATTTAGGACACACAAAAAAGAGGACTATTTTCTTTTTATACTTTATAAAATTTTGTTAGTACATGTTGGAGTTGGTTTACAAATATGCCTGTCTTTCCCACTTGTTATTGTCATTTATTAGTCCCCTACCGGTTTAACCGGAGGGGACTTTAGGTTTACCCTCCGTCCGTCTGTCCGTCTGTCCGTCCGTCTGTCTGTCTGTCTGTCAGTCCGTCAGTCCGTCCGTCCACAAAACTGGATCCCGCGATAACGCAAAAAGTACTGAAAATATTTTTATGAAACTTGATATATGATTAGATGGCAGTCTGGAGATTATGCACGTCTTTTTTTTTTCTTCCTATGTTGAAAATTCTGGTTGCTATGGCAACAAATAGTCTGAAAATATGGCAAATTTAACACATTAACTGGATCCAGTGATAACTCAAAAAGTACTGAAAATATTTTTATGAAACTTGAAATATGGGTAGATGGCAGTCTGGAGATTATGCACATCTTTTTCTTTTCTTCCTATGTTGAAAAATCTGGTTGCTATGGCAACAAATAGCCTGAATTTCAAGATTTCTGATTTAAATTTTTCAGCTTTTTCACTATATGTTCTTTATTTCTTAAGGTGTTTACTTCAAACTTTAAATATAAGTTTCTGGTCATCAACCACATCATATGTGACAAGGTTTATAACTCTAGCACAAAAAATATCAGTATTACCTCCCTTGAACTTAGATTTTTTAGGGGAAAAAATGTTGTCTTTTTTAAATAACTTCTTTATTTCCTAATGTATCTACTTCAAACTTCATATATATGTTTCTTATTATCACTCGACATTTTTGAGAAGGTTAAATACTCTAGCAAGACTATTTCCAGAATTATGTCCCCCTTGAACTTAGATTTTTTTTGAGAAACTGGTATTTTCACTCCAACTTTAAAATCCCACATCCCCACATCGTAATAATATGACAAGGTTGTATAAACATAATTTCCTTACTAAGCATGGAAACTTAACACATTACTGTGATATAGACAAACTTATTTATTATGTTTTGTGGTCGATATTTTCAAATACAGACTTCATCCTCAAATTCATTATAAATGGCAATACACAGGAGTGTATGACAATTAAAGAACTTTTTGAGGGACCGGTAGGGGACTACTGTATTGCCCGCAATACTATCAAATGCTTGTTAACTATAATCTTAAGTATTGGATGGGTTTGTGCTAGCTCTTGATCATTGCCTTTACCCTATTGTTGGGTTGTAGGTAAATTTTGTTACTGCTGCTAAAAATAGACCCCCATTCCCAATTAAAAATAATCTACATTTTCCTTGGTTTCAAAAAAAATATTTCCAACAGTTATATTTAAAAAAAACAGCAACCTGTTTCAGCTTCTTTAAGAAAAAAGTGAACTGTTTTGTTTTGCTTCTGAAAAGGATTTAAAGAAATGACAGTTATGTCATTTCTCAACATCATTTTGAAACTTATTATAAATGGGATTAGTTGGTGGTTCTACTCGGGCACCTGTTCATGCCTGAAATAATGCAAAGCAAGGCACATGAGGTCTTCCTCCACTTGTAAAGCTGGTGACCTGGTGTGATGTAAAACCCAACCAAAGAGAAAAGTGGGGGAAGGATAAGTCGATCTTCTATGAGGTTTTTAAATTCAACTTGATTATTATGTTAGTTAAAAAAAGAGGTGATTAGATTTACTGTAACAGACATGCATTAATTGTTATTCTGCTTATTTTTTGGTTAAAATATGCTAAAAGAATGAACGGTGTGCTTGGCTTTGGAAATAGGTTTGCTTCAGTATGCTTCCTTGTGTATATGACATTATTGGAAGTTCATTAAAACTAACAGTTTATAGTTTTATAAAAAAAAAATAAAATCATTGGTGGATTAAACATTTTTCTATCACTAATAACCTACTTGTTTTTGTTTTTTTTGTCCACCTTTGCCATGAAATTTGCAATTTGTAATGTCCATTTGTGTTAGTTTCTATTTAGATTGATAATTGGACTAAAAACCAATATAACATTTATGAATATATACTAATTGTTTGGCTTTATTTGAAATTTTGGAAACAGATAAAAAATAAAAATTAAGATAATATTAAAATGAATTGTTTAAATTTTATGATCAAATTTCAGTTGAAACATCTGCAATGTTTTATTTTATCTATAGCAGGCCCTACAGTAATTCACCCTCAGTATTATAGTGTACAAACACCATGGGGCATTTACCCTGCTAACATCATCCCCACCCAGGGGCAACAGACTCCACAGGGAATTCAGCAGATGAGAGGAGGGTCAGGTCGCCTGACGCCGTCTGGGCAAAGCGACTCTGGCACGCCCATGCAACAGCAGTTGCCTGCACAAGGTTTGAATGCATTTTACATAGCGATATTTTTTAGATTTTTATGACCCCTAAAAGGAAGTATATTATAGTGATTGTACTGTCTGTCCGTCTGGTACCATCTTGTCCTTGATTTATCTTGGACTAGACAACCACTTGTCTGATTTAAATGAAATCTTAAGTGAGGTGAGACATTTAATCTGCACTGTCTGTCTGTCTGTCCAGTATAATTGTCAGTCCTTCGTATGCATGGCCAATTGTCTGATTTGCAATTTGAAGGTGTATGAAGCTATATATCTGCGGGAAAAAAACAACTTCCATACTACCTGTATGATAAAAATGTGTTTGATTATTTCCAAAAGAGAAAATGGCACATGCACAGGATTATCAACATTGATAAAAACTCAACTTGTCAATAGCAGCATAACATTAAGTTTGATTAACATGCAATATTCATTTGTAAATTATCAGAGACATTCTATGTTAAAACTATTTCAAGAATTGATCATATAATTGTGGAAACAACAAACTTTTACTATTTATAAAAGAAAAAAAGTCGCTGCAATGATGATAAAAGTGATGATGTCACATAAAAATTAAAAATAACTTAAATATATAAGGTCATTTAGCATGGAGAAAATGCAACTGCTGCTGTGGTGTAGTGGTTAGCGTACAGGACCGGTAATCCAGAGACTCGTGGTTTGAGTCCCAGCTGTGGCGTGCCGATTTTTTGTGTGCTTTTTCTGTTAATGTATAATTTATGTATATATATTTTTCAGGAGCACAATATCAGATTCTGGCTCCAGCCTATTATGATCAGAACGGTCAGCTAGTTATGGGCAATCCAAGAGGTATGGGTGGTGCCTCTATGAGGCTAGTATCTCCAGCACCTGTTCTTGTTTCCGCTGGTAATCAGCAAGGTAAGTAAACATACCTAAAACACTCGTTAAATTAATTAGATATTTTTCCTGACCTCGAGGTGAGACTTTAATTGAATGGACAATTGCATGCTGAGTTTTCATTCTGACATTAAATGTAATTTTAATCAGGGCTGCCGATTTTCCGCGGATCCGCGGAAATCCGCGCATTTCGTGAGCTCCTGGGTCATTTTTGAGATCGATGTAAATTCGACAAAGACAATAAATTCATTCGTCATATTTTATACATTACCCAAAAACCGGCACGCTTCGGCTTTTATTGTTACGCTAGCCGCCTATGGTACGTCTGTAAGCGCTTTTCTCATTGGTCATATCGAGTCTTTTCCGGCATTCTATTTTAGAATAACCAATCAAATTACAGTTTACATTGTCGCACTTGTCTGTTGTCAAAATGCGTCAAAATGTCGGATATTTGTCAAATTTAGAGTCCAGGAAATTGATTTTAGGGCATACCAAATCATCAGAATCCAGGAGCTTCGCCCCCTGAACCCCCACCAGGGCTCTGCCCTGGACCTGCAAAGGGGGCTTGCGCAGCCCCCTTGACCCCCGGCGTATTTTCCGCTGATTTTGAAATTTGCTGTTGGCAGCCCTGTTTAATTCAGATCCTGATATGAGCCCTGTCATGACAAAACCAACATAGTGCGTTTGCAACCAGCATGGATCCAGACCAGCCTGCGCATCCGCGCAGTCTGATCAGGATCCTTGCTGTTCGCTTACCAACCCTATTACAAGTAGCAAAAATGATAACGAACAACATGGATCCTGATCAGACTGCATGGATGCGCAGGCTGGTCTGGATCCATGCTGGTCGCAAACGCATTATGTTGGTTTTGTCGTGACCTGGCTCATATGGTTATGAGAAGATCAGAAGAAGCTTCGTAGAAATAATTGTTTTGATTTATAAAAAGAAAATATTTCTGTCAGAATTTCATTTGTTCGGCAGTTAAATTTTTAGGTATATTTGATATTTGTGGGTAGATAGCTGGAAGGGAAGCAACACTATTTATTTTTCGACCTTTTGCATGTGATTTGGTTTTATCTACCAAGCATGATTTCCGATTAAAGTTAACACTAAGCTACTAACACTATTGGAAAATGGTTTATAATTCCAGATGTGGTTTATTATTTTAATTTTTCGTTTAATAACATATCCTTTTTCGACCAGTTTGAACCAGTATTTGTTGTTGAAAAAAAGGATTTTTATTGGTTGCCTAAGTATTGTGACCCAAAAACTAACAAACCGTTGTATTTTCTTTGTTGACTAACAGGTGGCGCCCCGAATATTGGCAGTAATCCGCTACGGCTACTCACAACCCAACCACAGCAGATGCCCACGACCCCACCCATTTTCTCAAGTAGCAATAGTAACACACCACAAAACTCACTTGGTAAGGATGAATGCTTTTACTGTTGTTTTTCTTGGGTATTTTGTTATTTGTTGTTTTCTAGGTACTGTGTTAGGTGTGTTCCATTTGGTGTTACACAGCATGTTTTATAATACTTTGATGAGATATTCGTAATATATGTTTGTTTTATCATTTAATGAAAGTCGAAAAATATGTTTCGAGGGTTTGTTGCCAAACACCTGTCACTCAAATTTAATGAAGGAGTTACATCCATTTAGCGCTGATCCATCAAAATATTTTTTTCGTGGCCGTAAAGGAATAAATTTTATGGAAGGGGAAGTTTAAAGCATATAGTGCAGAAGTAAGGGGCTGGGCATGCAATAAGAAATGAGAAAGTCATATTGTTACTCAAATTACAGCAAATGATTATTAATATTTGACACCTCTTATGGGAGTGCACAGTGTGTGTACACTGAATAAAACCTAGCTTGGCTAGTATATAATGATGCTGTAATGTTTAAACTTATGCCTCCTTATTATTGAGCTAACTATATTACTTACACTTGTCCACTTTACAATCTGGACTATACCCATCATTTTTAGGGAAAATGTTTTAAAAAAATATGTAATGGCTGAAAAGCAGACAGTGCAGACCATAATCAGGTGGTCAGGGATGCGCAAGCCAATCTTGGTCTGCACTTGTCACATGGGTATGTTTCTTAACTACTGGTAAGCAAGGAAGAAGAGTCAAAATTGTTTATACATGTTCATTGTATTATTCGCATCTAAAACTAAGGTTGTCCTATTAGCTTGTTGAAACATCAGAGTTGTAAAGGGGGTAATTTAATAATTGTTTACATTTCACTCCTTATATTTTTTGATGAGATAAATAAATTTGGAAATTATAGATATAGAGAATTTTGTCAGTGGTTTTATAATCTGGTCCAATTTTACTTAATTGATTATTCGACAAATAGCAAATGTTGGGATGTATTTGACTCACCTGACTTGATTCCACATGTTAATTAAATAAAACTTAGCTGCTGCCTTTTTCCCTCAAATATGTAGAATTTATATGAAGAAATGGCAAATGATTATCAATATTTGACACCTCTTATGGGAGTACACAGTGTGTGTACAATGAATAAAACCTAGCTTGGCTAGTATATTATGATGCCATTGGTATTTTAATTTCAAGAAAGTGACACAGTGTTGAAGAAAAGTTTAGGTAATGTTGTTAATAAGGTTGTTGTTAAGATCTGAGGCAGCTGACTGTCTCAACTGCATTATAGGCCGCCTTAAAACTTACAGAAAACATTCTAGTTTATGTAATAAAACTAAAAGTGACTGCCTCTGAAAAATTAAATTGACAAATGTGATTAGATAATAACATCTAAATCAGTATAGAAAATATAGTGAGCTGTATTAAAGGTCAAGTTTAAGATGCAGGGTACAATCTTGCAAGTTACATAAATGAGTTAAGGGTGTCTCTGGCCAAGTGGCTAAGGTTATTGACTTTAAACCACTTGCCTGTTAAGTCTGTAGGTTTGAGCTGCACCAGTCTCTTGGGATTCTTCATGCTAGGAATTTATCCAGCTAGCTTGTGGAACGTCAGTGGTTCTACACAGGTGCCCGTTTGTGCCTGAAATAGTATTAAACTGAACACCCACCCCTAAATGAATTAATTAAAAAATACAAAAACATAAATGAGTTAGAATAAGGGATAGTAGGTTAATTGACAGTGTATTTTACATGACAGGATACAGCCAGTCGAGTAGCATGGGTTACACACAAGTTTCTTCTAGTCTTTTCACACCAATCAGTACCGGTCTCAATCAACAGAGTAACTATGGTAACAGTGGCCTTGGAGGTCTTGGATCCAGCATGCAGGGGTCCATAGGATCCAGTGACTTTGGTATATATACTTTGAAGATATGTTTTTCCTTTATTGACAAATAATAGGTGTTCAAATCTTGTTTTGAAGGTCTACTCTAACTCAGCAGGTGTCTGAAATAATGCACGGAGGGGCACCTGAGGTCTCCCTCCATCAGAAAAGCTGAAAAGTCATTATATGACCTTTACTATGTTAGTGCGACGTTGAACCCAACCAAAACTAAATAGCAGTGAAATCTATCGGGCACTGCAGTACTCGATTAAATTTTTGTATTAAGTAGATCTACTAAAGAAGTTTCGCCATCTGTAGACAGTTTCAAGTGAACAAAGTGACTTTAGGTTTGAGTTTGTTACTCAGTTCAAAGATGTTAGTGTGCCACTGTTTCGAATGAACTCTAATTAAGATATTATTAAAAACTGTTTGAAACTTGACTGATTATTAACAAAGTATGATTTAAACACTTGTAACCTAATAAATTAATGTTTTGATATATTTCATTTATACCAGGCCTAGGAAGTGGTCAGAGACGTGACTCCTTGGACTTCAAGGCACGGCAGATGACCCCTATCAATCAGTATTATGGTTCCCTGGGCAACCTTGGTTCACCTGCTGGACCTATGGGTCTTGTTCAACCTGGACAGTCCATGACTCCACCCCTTTCTGGTAATTATTGTGTGATAGTCCTAAGTCACTTAAATATCAGCGTAGCCTGTGTCCCCCTTGTGGCTGAGGGGATTGCCTTTAAGATAAGAATTGCAGCCACGATTTATCACTGCATGATCGTAAGGTGACTAAATAGGTTCAGAATACTGGAGTCTACATTTCTTAGCTCAGGCAGGTGAGGTGGTTTTGACCCCTTGTGTTGCTTTATAAATTTGTACCACTTAAGATTAACCAAAAAGATCTTTCCTATTTCGGAGCCCTATGACCTAAATTGTGTCAGTGTGCCATAAAAAAGTAGTTAAATTAAATTTTAAGTATAAATTTGCCTTCGTGTTAATTGGAAATATGCCTCATTGTTAAGTTATTTCTCATAAAAAATTTTAGTGCAAAGTACAATTTAATTTAATTTACTTTTGGATTTGATAGTAATGATGTATTTTGGATAATTTTTCAGGTCTCGGTAATGGGGGAAGGCTGTATAATGCGGCCCCAGGAGCCGAGGCTAAATTTCGTAGTGGATCTGTAGGAGCAACCAGCATGTTTGGTTCTCTGTTCCCTGGCAGGACCATGCAGTCGAGAAGGTTTGTTGTTCTTTAATATACTGTACTTAAGAAATAGAAAGATTATTTATGATTGGCACAATTATTACATACATATGTTGTGTTTTGGTTTAGTGTGTAACTGAATTTTTTGGAAGCATATACCATGATTGTTATGCCACATTTAATTTCATGTTTAAAAATTCCC